ACACTAACAACAGAGAGAATGGATAGTATACTTCAGCAGTCAGCATCCAAGGAGTTGGAAGCCAAGTACACAATAAGTACAACCACAACACGCACAGAAGCATTTTCTAAATCTACATGAAAAGCATAGTGTGATGTTACCATGGTTACTTACAATTCTCTAGGATGCCAGTCTTGTAGGCTATGAGAGAGAAGATATAAGCAACAAACAGGCGTTTCCATGATGGATTTTCACCAATAGCATGCGATGCAACAATACACAATCAGGACAAAAATAAAGCAAAGACAAAAAACAGACAGAGTCAGAGTAATTTGCAAAGGTATTTTGCAAGCAATAATGTATTTGCTGGCACATATATTTAAAAAAAATATTAGCAGAAGTAGTTATTCAAAAACAATAGCAGCAGTGCCGAAAATCTGAGTATGCAATCAGATTACAATCACGTTATTGGCCCACTCACTCAATGAAAGAATCAAGTATGCAATCAGATTACAATTACATTATTGGCCCACTCACTCAATGAAAGAATCAAGTATGCAACCAGATTACAATCATGTTATCAACCCACTCACTTAATGAAAGAATCAAGTATGCAACCAGATTACAATCATGTTATCAACCCACTCAATGAAAGAATCAAGTATGCAATCAGATTACAATCATGTTATCAACCCACTCACTTAATGAAAGAATCAAGTATGCAATCAGATACAATGACATTATTGGCCCACTCACTCAATGAAAGAATCAAGTATGCAATCAGATTACAATCATGTTATCAACCCACTCACTTAATGAAAGAATCAAGTATGCAATCAGATACAATGACATTATTGGCCCACTCACTCAATGAAAGAATCAAGTATGCAACCAGATTACAATCATGTTATCAACCCACCCATTCACTCAATGAAAGAATCAAGTATGCAATCAGATACAATCGAGTTATCAACCCACTCACTTAATGATAGAATCAAATATGCAACCAGATTACAATCATGTTAGCAACCCACTCACTCAATGAAAGAATCAAGTATGCAACCAGATTACAATCATGTTATCAACCCACCCATTCACTCAATGAAAGAATCAAGTATGCAATCAGATACAATCATGTTATTGGCCCACTCACTCAATGAAAGAATCAAGTATGCAATCAGATACAATGACATTATTGGCCCACTCACTCAATGAAAGAATCAAGTATGCAACCAGATTACAATCATGTTATCAACCCACTCACTCAATGATAGAATCAAGTATGCAATCAGATACAATCATGTTATTGGCCCACTCACTCAATGAAAGAATCAAGTATGCAATCAGATACAATGACATTATTGGCCCACTCACTCAATGAAAGAATCAAGTATGCAACCAGATTACAATCATGTTATCAACCCACCCATTCACTCAATGAAAGAATCAAGTATGCAATCAGATACAATCGAGTTATCAACCCACTCACTTAATGATAGAATCAAATATGCAACCAGATTACAATCATGTTAGCAACCCACTCACTCAATGAAAGAATCAAGTATGCAACCAGATTACAATCATGTTATCAACCCACTCACTCAATGAAAGAATCAAGTATGCAACCAGACTACAATCACGTTATTGGCCCACTCACTCAATGAAAGAATCAAGTATGCAATCAGATACAATCGTGTTATCAATCCACTCACTTAATGAAAGAATCAAGTATGCAATCAGATACAATCGCGTTATTGGCCCACTCACTCAATGAAAGAATCAAGTATGCAATCAGATACAATCACATAATCAACCCACTCACTCAAAAATGGTCAAAAAATTCTATTATAATATTTAAAGTTGTTTTTCAAGTAAAATATGTACTGAATGAACACAGAAGCTACCATTTTTCTTGTCAATAGCCAAAGAATTCAAGAATTCAGTTGTGATTTAGTTTTCATCATTTCAGAAGTGTCATAAAGTCATTGAATTGCATGCAGAATTTTCTTTTCAACTATCAGAGATGGACTATATGACAAAATTAATATTTGAAGTGAAGCACTTGTGACTATTGAACTCATGTTACTATTGCATCTGAGTGAACTTGGAACATTATATACTTCCAAGGTCAGTTGAAGTACAATATAAAAAGCAATGCATGATGGGATTTATTGTATTGATGATAACAAATAAGTTAGTTAATAACTGCTGCAATATGTCAGTATTCAATGAGTATAAATCACGAACATCATAACTTTCAGATTTGATTCTTTTCAAGTTACTCAATATTGAAATGGCTTTCAAATACGTTGCCAACAACACATAATAATAATAATAATAATAATACAAATGTAGTTATTACGCTACTGTAATCTGCTGTGGATACACAGTAAAGTAAAAATAGTGTAAAATAAAATATAAGTAATGCAACTAAAAATAACTACAAATTTAAAAGGTCTAATAAATACAAAAAAAATTAGAAAGTAATGAAATTCAACATTGCCAGTTTATCTGCTTCATTTTGAATCACTTACTCACTCATACACATATATACACACACAGGTGTTAATATTAAATACATTACATTTCTCCAAGGAAAATATATATTAAATGTGTTTGTGTGTTAAGAAACATACCAAAACAAGTTAAAATTGAAAAACAAATTGTGAAAGCAGCTAGAGCCAAAGAATAGAATATATAGAAATCAGCATGGGTAATCATAGTCCTGGTAATATTGGAAGAAAGAGGTATATTAATTGGATTGGAACCGCTAAGCATTTCTCTTCCAACTGAGACATATAGCACATGTGGTGACGTGAACAAACTAATTGATGGTGTAATTAACATTAAGCAAATGACGGTGCCGCTTTTATGGTAATTTGCATTATACAAATCTGTGAGGTATCACATAATTATAGTGACAACCAACACTATTCTCATAACACTGTCATCTCAGCATGTGCTTCTTTTTTGCGTGTAAAACATGAAAAAGAATATGATTTGTGAAACTCAAGATTAAATGTATCTAATATATATGCAAGATGTGTTTCTGATTTCATCACAGCCAACAATACAGTACACCTACCTGTGATGAGAGAGCATTTTCTTAAGGTGTTCGACTCTATCATCTTTTTTGACTTTTTCCTCCGGAGATAACTCCTCTTCATCGTCTTCGGGTACATATCGTTCAGGAATCCATACTTTTGGTGGAAGACCAAGCTGATGATGGAATGTGATTAATAATAACTAACATAACTTGACATTATTGATATGAATACACCAATTGGTGGATAGAAACAGGCGTGCATGGCCAACTATTTTCACAGTAATAGACATATACATGTAATACGTTGTTCTATGATTTGCCTAGTGCTGTGTTTGATCCAAAGGATATACGTCATATCATCTATTCATTGAGTTCAGTTGGGGGAGAAATCTGATAAGGCGTGATTGCAGTTTCATTCACATCTTTTCTCACATTTATACTACTGTAATTATTAAACTGCAGCAGTAAGAGTTAAAAAAAGATATAATTTTCATAGATTATAATATCATGGCAGTCGTCTTGATCCGCACAAGTGATTCATACACTTATAGCCAAAATAAACAGTCACGCCAAAATAAACAGTCGGCCCCTGTGCCATCCAGATTATAATTTCTTAGATTATCGCATTTTTGACCCCATCATCAATAACGTTTAATTGCTGTACAGATTTTCTGCTGTTCTACGTTTCAGCAGGTTTGATAATTTCAAATTAAAACATTCACAAATAAGGGACCATAATAGTATTTATCATCATCAAAATCATCATCCTAATGGATCAAACACTTAATACATTTTTATACCACTAGTTCACTTCAACACTGTACCACCAACCCATTACCAAATCAAATATTTACTCAACTACAGACACGAAAATCAAAACATATCTATATACAATAGACAAAAAAATGTATATAATGAATTAAATATGACAAGCGATTAAAATGCCAAGCAGTGCAGTGCATTATCCCGTAAGTAAAAAAAGCATACATGCACCAATGGTAACTTGTTGAAAATATTTAAGTACCCTACAGTCAAATTCACCATATCCAGGAAAGCTAAAACAGGAAACGAGGGGAAAAAGTACAAATACACCAAAATATGTAGTACTTCTAATGAAGGTTGTGTGATACATGACTTTAAACCACAATTATGAGAAGATAATTGATTCAAATAGAGACACTAATATTGCGTTTTTGTTTGAAAATTGATAATGAGTGTCTGAGTGTCTAATTATCGGATTTTTGGAAAAACTGCAGCCTGAATCGTAAGTTACACAAAATTTATTTAAATATATTTAAATTCTATCAAACAGCAATAGTTTATTATAAAGTTTTTTAGTATAATTAACGTTTGATACGAGTGAATGAAATAAGCACTATAATACAATGTTTGAGAACATGAAGAAAAAGGGTAGGAATTAGTCTTGTAAGTTACACAGCAGTCATGCTGGATTAGTCTGGTACCAAAGTGGGGAGAGAAGTGATGGTAAGACATGAAACACATGGACAATTAAGCACTGAATGTTTAAATTAATTGAATGATCAATTGACAGAATTGAGCACCTTGTCATAAGGGCCAGCTGCTTCAAAGAATAGATCTCGGAGGTATCGATTCTTAACACTGAGGTAGGTAGAAGGCTTTATACGATCAGACGATATGATGTTTCCGTCATCGTCACGAACCAACTGATGCAACAACATGAGGGGGGTATTACATATAGTAAACAGTATGAATGAATGAGAAAGAAAGAAAAGATTGAAAGAAAGAAAGAAAGAAAAATATGTTAGTATTAATTGCTCATTTGTTTTACTGTTATTGATAGGACATTTAATTAATATAGCCATGCATAATATGTATTGTCTTTCCTTTAAGTAGCTGCAGCCGTTGTTCATATTTGATGCAAGCAAATGTAAATCTGTTGACACAATCATATGGATCAAGCACTAACACACGTTTATGATTTTGTATTATTATGACATTGCTGATAACACTTTTCTGACTTTACGAGTAGTATATCTAAATAACCTTCATAATTTGATTTGTAAACAGAATTAAAAATTGACCACAGGTTCATAGACTCAGAAAATTCAGTCAAAAAACTACTGACGAAACCGTACTGTTTTGCTACAATGCACACTCGGTGCGGAGAAAACAGAGAGTAAACATAAGGCAAGATGGCGCTGACATCTTGACCTTAATTGGTCATGTGTTACATGATGTGGAAGAAAATCTATGAGGTCATGGGCTTCCCCTGGCCTAGATTTCTCTCTCCCTCATTGGCTAAATCGTAGATTAATGCCTGCAGTTCAAAATAGTCATTTTGACTGACCGGAGTCCATGGTGGGTAATTGAACGTAGTGAATTTTTTCCTTCAGCAATTATATATGCCAAGTGAAATTAATGTACAGGCATCTTGGTGATGAGAA